CCCCCCCTCTGCTCTAGATGTATCTGCACGAAGCCCTGGCTCGATGTCAGACTCAGCAGTCCGAAGACCAAGCCTCCCCGAAAGTTCCTTTGGCCCCTTTTTTTGCACCCGGAGCTCGCAAANNTATAGTAGGATCCCCTATATGATTTAAGTAAGGTATCGTTCCTCAATTAAGGGATATTGGAGACTTCAACGAACGAAGCCCCAAGCCGCAAGAACTCGGCATCCTAGATCCGACCCCCTTCGTACGGTTGATGATATAAATCCTGCATTGGTTTTGGGTTTAGGGTTTAGGATTTAGGGTTTAGGGTTTAGGGTTTAGGGTTACCCATAATCAGGAATAGACCGTAATTCCCGTAGTTTAGGGTCCTTAAGGTAAAGCAGGATTTATATCATCAACAGCAGGACCCTTTGGGGAAAAACAAGAATGCCCCAGACACTCTTTGAAACCCAGAACTGGTCCTAAGCCCTTTGGATAAACTCAAAAGATACTCCAAAACGACCTCCAAAGACGATCCCAAAACCCTAAATCCTAAACCCTAGACCCCAAAACCCTAGACCCTAAACCCTAGACCGCAAAACCCTAGACCCTACACCCTAATCCCTAGACCCTAAACCCTAAAGCCTAGACCCTACACCCTAAACCCTAGACCCCAAACCCTAGACCCTTGGCTCAAGGCTCAAGACCCCCCCTAGCCGAAGCATCTGGTAGACGACTTCTCTATTGCCATTTTCTCTTGCTGTTTGCTGAACTGCACGTCACGGAAGTGCTAGCCAGTCTGTACGGGCGAAGATCCTTACACGACAGAGAGAGAGAGGGATATGGCTGGGCACCTCCGAGAGGCACGGCAGATTCATCTGGATGCTATGACTACTCCTATTCAGGACGAAGCACCTTCTCCAAGGTTGAAGCGAGAGGGAGAGATAGAACATATCGGACCCTCCAAGAAGCCCAACCTGGACAGTGCAGGGCAGACAGGGCAGAGTGTGACAGTGGATATGGCAGAACTCAAGAAGCTCCTGGAAGAAACTGGAGAGAAAATTATGCAGGCACAACATGTCCATCTTGAAGCTCGCATGGCAGCCCTCGAAGAACTGACCGGAGTGCGACTTGCATCGACAGAAACGAGAATCGGGGCAATGGAAACCAAGTTTGAGTCTGTGGAAACCAAGATGGAAGAGATGGAGACCAAAATCACGGAACTCACCCAACAGCTCCAAGAGAAAGCTGCTCAACCACGAGAAGGCCAGGAACATGGAGGCAAGCGCCTAACCATGGTCTTCGGAGGCTGGGCCAGGGATACCCGGCGAGGAGAGATATTGGGACAGCTCAAGCAAGGTCTAGTGGAGCTAGGAGTCTGGGATGACTTGGATGCTATGCCTTTCACGACGACCACGGCGGTCCACAGCGATGGTCAATTTTCTCGTCCGACCGGGTGAACAGGAGTTCCAAGTCAAACAACGTATGCATGGCATCATCAAGGCTCTCTCGGAGAATCAAGTCAACATACCTAAAGGGAAGAAGATGTGGGCAAGCTATGCAAAAAGCAAGTATGAGCGAGAGATTGCGGGGCATGCAGCATGGGTTAAGCGCACGGTTAGTGCTTTGGCACCCAACAAGATCGAGGCTTTGGATATTGAGTATCCTGCTGGAAGCGTGTGGATTGGACAATCCTTCGTTGCCAGTGCTAAGGTTCCACCACCGCCGGGCATTAACGCAGCAGACCTTATGAAAGATGAGAGCAAGGAAGGCAAGCAGTGGATCTTAGTGCCCGCACTTGCTAGGGAGATCGGCATGAGCACACACCAGGTGTGGCAGGGGCTTGAGGAGGCAAAACGCTGAATTTCAGGTGAGCTGCCTGCTGATGAAAGCCAGTCGGCAGCTAATTTGCGAGATACCTTTGAAGTGTATAGTTGGAACACTGGGGGGGTTATGGATGTTAATTATGCGCAGGCCGTCAGTGATCTTTTTGGAGGTATTTCGCAGGATGCAATCATTTCCTTACAAGAAATTGCAAGGGGTGAACCAGGGTGGCAAAGACAAGTGCACGGACCTTGGCTCACGCTCTCACACCGTCAAGAAGATGTGTGGAGAGGGACTGGCATAGTCATTCATCAACAAAAGTGGAGCATTATGCGACGTAAAAGCACGAAACGTGGCACATGGTTCAGGTTACGACATGTCTCAGGGGGAGAAGTGTGGGTTGGAGCTGCACATTTTACACCGGGATCAACACAATTGGTACATGCAGCAGAGGTTTCAGATCATCTTAAAGGATTGCCTGCTACTCATATTCCAGTTGTCTGCGGGTGTGATGTCAATTCTGACATCAACTGGATCACGGATGATGAAGGGAACAGAGAGGTTGTAGGGTACAATGGGAAGACAGTGGAGTTTCTTGCCCAATGCAGAGCCAGGCAGCTTGTACCAAGACCTCCGCTACAGGAACAGATGCAAACGCCGACGTCTCGACCCAGACAGGCAGGTCGGGAGGGCAAACCGATTGACTGCATACTTTCGTCAAGTTACCAGGGCTCGCATTTACAAATACATACGGACTCCTTTCGAGTCTTGGGTACAGATCATGAACTGCTTTCTACCAACGTGTCAGTGGAGCAAAAGACCAAGCAACACAGATATACTACCAGACCTCGACAATGGAAGGGAGGAGTTGAGCAGATTACACATTTGGATCAGAATATGTTGGAGGAACTAGCAACCAGATGTACACAACCCAAGCAGGGCAGATGCTACCGAGACCCCACCACGGTGAAAGAAGCATTCCGCGAAGCGCGGCGAACTGGACAAGGGACACAATGGACGCACGCTAGAAAGCTTCGCAAACAAGCCCGGAAGCAGTGGGAGGCGGAAAGGCTTCTTAGAGCAACTCAGGGAGACTGGCAAGCAGTGCGAGAGCTTAAGCCAATTACAAACCAAGGATGGGATGCCCATTATGCGGAAGCTCAGGGTGAGGAAGATCCTCATCAATCTATTCATGATCATTTGGAGAATATCTACACTACAGGGGAAATTATACCGCCGTTACCACCTTGGGATGGTCCTTTTGAACCTTTCACGATTGAAGAACTGCAAAAGGCCCTCTCGAAAGGGAAACCAGGCAAAGCAGTTGGAGTAGACGGTACAAGCCACGAATTGTTGGTTGGCATAGCAAACACCCCGGGGGGCATGGAAGCCCTGCTTTGCTTTTACAATGAGGTCTATGCTACATCTAACATTCCTGACAATTGGAACAAAGCCCTTATGGTGGTGATACCCAAAGAACAGTTTCCTACAGAGCCGCGCAACCTGAGACCCTTGGCCATGGGGTCTAGTGTGGCCAAAACATATAGCTACTTGCTCATGGGCAGAACTAGCAAATTCCTGACGCATCAGGGGTCTTCCCAGTGTGCTGGAACTGGACGCCAGACTTGTGAATATTTATTCACAGTTGCTAGAATGATGAATTTGGAAGCTGAATGGCATTATGGTGCAGTGTTTGCCAAATTGGACATCACTAAGGCCTTCGACATGGTTAACAGGAAAGCACTTTTGCACAAGCTAAAGTTAGCCATGGGTGATGGATATACATATCGCAGCTGGCATGGACTTCTGGCGGACACCTCAGCTGTGCTTCAAACTGGGTGGAAGAATACTTGTATTCAGATGGACAGAGGTATAAAACAGGGGTCAGTTGAGTCGCCGGGGTTCTTTGGCTTCCTGGCTGAACATATCCTTGAGGAAACCAAGCAGAGGTTTAAATGGCAAGAACGAACCAAGGTTTTTGACCAGCTGTTGCTTGAAGAATTGCTCTTTATGGATGACGGTATTGTGTGGGCTGATTCGGCAATGGCAGTTCAGGCAAAGCTCCAGGAATGGGCAACAGTCATGAGCGAATATGGTTTGAGTCTGAACCCTAAAAAATGCCGTGTGTATTTTTCTCCATATTACAAAGGGGATAAGACTGTTGTGGTTGATCATGCGAAGGTTCCGGAGGGATCGTGCTTTGAAGTTATGGGCATACCATTTCGAGTGGGTGCCTCCCCATCAGAATTGATTGCGCCAATGTTGGGGAAAGCTAGAGACAAGTATTGGGCCCACAAGCACCTTTTCAGAGCTTCTACCCCAATCAGAGGACGTATCACTATGATGAATCGTATCATTGGGGGTACGGCATTATGGTGTTTGGCAGCGCTGCCTCCGGATGCTAACAGTCTGGGATTGATAAATTCGCTTCAATTGCAACTTACAGTATGGACGATGAAAGTTGGAAAGAGAACACATGAAACATGGCAAGGGTTCAAGCAGAGGGCATACAGAGGAGCAAGACAGCTACTGTGGAATTGCTTAGGGTCTCGATGGTCTATGGAGTGGTTGCAAAGATGGTGGGATTTCGCGGGCCACAGAGCTCGAAGTGCTGACAGAGAAGTACCTACAGCAGCAGCAGTGGTAGATTCCTACCGGGATAGACAGTGGTGGTTAGACCAGCAAAACAAACCCCACACAGGACTCAGACATCCTCGACACTTTCCGAGGCTTTCCAACATGGAAAAAGATATGGACGCAGCTGCAGGCCGGAGACCGTGGCGAACAGTTGCAAGGGATAGGGTTTGTTGGAAGCAGCACAGGGAGACATGGATTCGCAATATGGGTTTACCATGGGCCAGTGGAAGACAGACTTGCATTAGGGTTTGAGGGTGAGGATGAATTGCGACGTGTGAGGGTTTCCCAGTGGTGTTACAACCGGATGGTCGCAAGCAACTTTGGCTGAGAACCAATTGCCAGTTTGCATTCGTGCGCAATGATGCTTTATTTGTGGCTCCTGGGGTTGTTCCAACCTGGTGGAGCGGGCCTGGTGCCTCAAGGGACGATGGCCGATCTATGTTACGCCGATGACCCATCGGGGTCTACAAACATGACAATTCGAATTCGAGAGGCTTTCGAGCCCCATGTCTGTAAGGGTGTAATGATGACGGCCCTCGAAGGTGGCCAACCTGCGGACATCAACTTCGGCAATTATCCAGAGTGGAGTGACGACCAGCCCTCTTGGTTGGGACAAAACCTCTGCCTCTATCCTGACCAAGTGTCGTGTGAATGCCTCGAAAGTTGGCTGCAACACAACTTGGAAGACTGGATGGCAGACACCTCCGTGGTATTAGTACAGACGGATATGAACATGTGGAGCCTTGTATTGCAGCAGTTGGTGCAGGGTTTTGAGGAAATGAGCAAATGTGCCAGAAGACTTGCAGCCTTCCACCTCTTGCGCTGGCTGAACCATCGCGCCGCCGATCGTGAGGGCGGATGTGTGTTGGGACAGATGACTGGCCTGGTGGCTGACCTAACAAGCCTGCTGGTTGTTGCTTATGACGACGAGATGGAGACAGAGGTGAACCTTGAAGGTACAACGCCACCGGAATGGGTGCACATGATGTGGAGAAGCATTCAAGGGTTTATTCCGGTCCACCCTGGATCCCCAGAGAGCCAGGGACAAACAATGGCAGCTGGAATTACCTGCTTCCAGGTGCACACCCGATATGCTCCCCTCGTCAGTCCGCCCTCCTCACCTGTGACTGTACAAGAGAGTCAGGAACCACAGCCAAATGTGAGCACGCAGACGCAAGGCCAGGGATGTAAGCGCTCCTATGTGGTGATGGAGTTTGCCCCGGACCACATGATACCGGGTGATACACCCCCACGGCCAGTGAGAATGAGGGTCCCTATGGTGCAAGGGGCGGCTGGCATTTCATGGAGTTTGCTACTTGAGCTGGATAGAAAGTGGAAACACAATGAGATCACCATGGAGGACATCGAAGCATGTCACGGGCCCAGGGTTACACAGCTACTACGAGAGAGATGGTGTGTGGACAAATCAGGGGTGGAAACTACAGCAGTGCATGGGGAATGCAAGGAGGAGGATGACGAGCCACAAGCCAAGCTCGAGCAGACCCAGGAGGAGGAGTATGACGAGACAGGCCTCCTCAGTTTGCATACGTTTGTTGTGGTTTGGATGGTTCGCCCCTCCCTGCAAGTCGGTGATGACCCGGACGAGTACACCTTCCAGCAAATTGGCAGGGACCTTCTCAGCTTGTGGGCTAGAGATGGAGTCTCCATGGAAGCAGTGGCGACCCACTTATTGTCCCTGGCAGAGGACAGAGAGGACGAAGACTACACCAGTGAGTTTGACTTGCACTTGCAGCAACTTGAGTTGCCCACTGGGCGAAGTGAAGACCCGAGGAGCCTTACGGAAGCACAACGAGGGTTTATACTCTGGTTGGAGGCGGAGTGGTGGAGTGATTGGGTCGACTACATGGAAGGAGCCACAGGATGGGAATCTACAGCAGTTCAGAATGCCCGGGCGGACAACATGGCAGACCATGAAAGAATGGGATGGCGTAGGCGAGCCATCGCTAGGGCTTACCCGACCTTGTCTGCAGGGTGCGGCTCCAACCCCAGCAGTACCGCACCGAGCAGCTCAACTGACGTTGTCTCCTTTGTGGAGCCTGGAAGGACAGGGCGAGGGACGCGTTCCACGAGGACTACTGAGCCCACCGCCTCCAGGAATGATGAACGACATGCTCAGAGCGGAAGAGGATCCAGAGCAGACACGAGAGCGGCACTACCTCGCCGTGATCGCTCAAGGTCGCGAGGAGGACGCTGCACATGGGAAACCAGACAACTGGTTGCGCGCGGCGCCGCAACAGGGGGAAGTACAACAAGAGACACCAGGCGAGGAACAGGCAGGTCACGCAGTTCTCCTCCAGCCATGAGTTTACAAGAGGCCACGGCACGGTGGCTCTACATGTTGGGGATGCGCAACAGCTTTGTTGGGGTGGAGACGCAACCAGCACTCCCCCATGGCGAGTCGTATGAGCGGGACCAACACATTGCGGCCATCCACCAACAAGATGTCATGACTATGGTTATGGGGATGATGCGAATGTTTGCTCAACTGTACATTGAGTGTTGCCAGCTCCTGAACAGGCACCCTAGCCTGAGACAGGAGGACACGGTTGATGTTGACGCAGACGATGACCTGCAAATGAGTGTTACGAGCAAGCCGCCGCCCCTCCTCACCGATGATGAGATCCAGCAGATGGCCTCGGATGAGATGGAAGAAAAACGTTGGAGGGAAGCAAGGGAACGTCAGGAAGACGACGAAGCTCAATGGCTCGACGAGTGCAGGAGGAAAGAGGATGAAGAAGCCCGACGACAGCTTCAAGAATATGAACACATGCGCGGACTGCCGAAACGCCTCTGCATACGTACAGAAACAACAGAGGGAGAAGACCAGGTGGTGAACACCGAGATCCATGGGGAAGTTACCTTACACATTACTGTTGGTGATGCGACAGCGACGTCGAGTGGCTCCAACATGCCGAATGCTGCCAATGCAAAATGGGGTTATTCTGCCACTACAGAGGACATCACTGAAAGGGTTTACCAGCAGTGGAAAGCAGGGCGACTCATGGATGAAAATGTTGAAGCTATTTTCGACCAAAGCATCCTTACCTTATTTCATGCACAACTCCTCGTTGACCATGAGGCAGAACAAGGGTCTATTGACACCATGCAGTTCGCTCAGCAAGAACGAGAGGGTACAATGCCAGTACAGACACTGCCCGATACGACAGTTGGCAGTGCGAGGGAGGAAGTGGAAAGTCATTCTGAATGCCGAAGCTGAGGGAACACTAAGCCGTAGACTGCCTACTGACAAAGTCGGTAGATCGCTCACCCTATGGGGTTTGGAGGGATGCTTTCGAGCAGACTGAAAAAGGAGCGCTTAAAAAAAAAAACCCGAGACCCTAAACCCTAAACCCTACACCCTAGACCATAAACCCTAAACCCTAAACCCTAGACCCTATAGACCCTATTGACCCTATAGACGCTAGACCCTAAACCCTAAACCCTAAACCCAGCCATCAGCCTTCAGATCGGGACCTCACGCCCCTTTCTGAAACCCGATAGCTTACCCTAGGCTTCCAGGGACCTGATAGTTAGGGCCCCAGACCCCTTTAAGGACCCAACAATAAGGTCCCGGGAAGCCTAGGGGTTAGACGCCTTCGAGGCGAAGCCCTGTAGGGTTTAGGGTTCTAAACCTTACACCCCAAAACTCTACGCCCGAAGCCCTAAAGCCTAAACCTTAAACCCTAAGCCCTAAACCTTAAACCATAAGCTTTAAACCTTAAACCCCAAACCCTAAATATTAAAGATCCTCGAAACCATGCCGATTGCCTTGGCTGCCTCTCTTCCGCTTCGTGGGCTCCGGGCGTCGGCGACCTCCCAGGAGCGCGTCTGATTGGGTAGACTCTTAGGGTTCAGGGTTCAGGGTTACGGGTTTAGGGATTTAGGGTTCAGGGTTCGGAGTTTAGAGTTCAGGGTTTAGGGTTCAGGGTTTAGGGGTTTAGGGTTCAGGGTGTAGGGTTCAGGGTTTAGGCGTTTAAGGTTCAGGGTTTAGGGATCAGGGTTTGCTGTTCAGGGTTTAAGGTTCAGGGCCGTAGGGTTCAGGTTTAGGGCTTAGACGGTGTAAGTTAGAATGTCGCTTTGGTGGGTCTTTAGAGTTTAGAGGGCCTCCGGGGAGGGTCTACGGGGTTTCATAAGGCTTGGTTCGTTTAATTGGGGCTTCTGCGGCTTTCTTGGGGAGATGGGGGTTCGTCGATTCGTGATGGATCCTAGAGTCCTAGAGCCGCTTTGAGGTTTAGGGTTTAGGGTTTATCGGGTTTAGGGTTGAGGGTCTTGGGGTATTTAGGTCGACTACGTTTCGAAACTCCTGGAGTTGCGATTCGCTTGCTTCGCAGGTCATCCGTTCTTTCATAGAAGCACCTAATAATATTAATATCCTTCTTTCACCATGAACACTGTCGTCATTACCAGCACTACCATTATCATTACCAGCGCGACCATTATCAGTAGTTGAGATTATAGTTACTATAATATGACGTGGCTCTTTTTGTTTCGCTTCACCTTAAACCCTAAGCCTTAAAAACCCCTAACCCCTAAACCCTAAACCCTATAAGCCCCTAAAACCTAAATCCTAAACTCTTAAGCCCCAAATCCTAAACCCTAAACCCAAAAAAAATAGAAGCCCCTAAACCCTATAAGCCCTGAACCCTAAACCCCTAAGCCCTAAACACCCATCTCAGGAACTCGTGCCTGTCCCGTGGAGACAGAAGAGGCTTCGACGTCTGTGCGCCTGTTGCCTGTCCCTCTGCTGCCTGAGGCCTGGGCTACTCAAAGGGTTCGGTTTTACGGTTCAGGGTTTAGGGTTGAGGGTTTAGGGTTTAGGGCTTAGGGGTTTAGGGTTAAGCGTTCCTAGCAGGATTAGTATGGGCTGTAGGTAGTAGGCACTGGACTTCTAGAAATTAAATTAGTTTGAAGTTCCTCTTCTCTGACATGTCAACCTTGCTGCGGAAATGCTAATCCTTACAGACCTCGCTTGTAAGAACCCAGCTGTGTGCCACCATAGTGTTACAAGGACCCACCCAGTGGCCGGGGCCAGCATGTAGAAGACAACCACTGCAAATAGTCATGATGTGTAGCATTTACTCTGACCACTCTTCCTCCAAAGCCTTAGCACTGATGACCCTGCATGGGGTTTAGGGTTATTTAGGGTTCGTCTAGGGTTCAAGGCGTTCCAACAAGATCAGCAAGGTCAGGATCCCGCCTAGCACGAATGAGGAATCTAGCTTACGGCAAACTATGGTCCAGTTGTGTATTTCTCCGGGTGGGCTCTCCGTACTACCGCATTCCCTTCTGCATCGTCGGGCCGGGTCAGCAAATTAAAACCGTGACATCAGATGCTCAAGGCTCTATCTTTTTGTTGCGGCTGCCATGGTAGCTTGACAGGAGTGTTCCTGTCCTGGCCTGGACAACGAGGATGACATTTCAGTGGGGTGTGGCTGGAGCCGCATATCAGATCGAAGGGGCGCATGATGCCGACGGCAAAGCAAGATCCATCTGGGACGACTTTTGCAAAGTTCCGGGTGCTATTGACGACGGCACAACTGCAGAGGTGGCATGTGACTTCTACCACAGGCGCCTTAAGGACGAAGAGGGCTTGGGGTTCAGGGTTTAGGGTTTACCATAATAGTATAATAGTAAGGATGCACAGTATCAAGTTTTCGCCCCCCCCCCCCTTGCGAGTCACTTGGTCTCGAAGGTATGAGGAAGACATTGAACTGGCGCGAGCTGCTGGCTTCAAACACTTCCGCATGTCAATCTCTTGGCCGCGAGTCATGCGAGACGATGGGCAGCCAAACGAGGCCGTAGGTGGTAAAGTCAAGCCCTCAAACCCTATTATCCTCAACCCTAGGTATCCCTACGAGGACCCTGTTAAATGCCCCTTCTTTTTTTTGTAAGCAGTTCTTGAGCTTCCCTTTAACAATTCTGAAGCTTCCCTATGTAGTATTCAACACCCGATGAGGTCGGCATCGCCTTCTACTCCAAGGTCCTGGACAAGCTTGAGAAGGTAGGCATGGAGCCCTGCGTGACGCTGTACCACTGGGACCTGCCGTCTTCCTTGCAGATGCTGGCTCTGTAGTAGATGGGCCGTGATAATTACCTAAACTATTTTTGGGGGGTTCCTTTTTATGATTATGGTATCATATACCTCCAAACCCAGTTATAAAATTATTAAGGCCCCTACATTAATTAGGGCTTTGGGATGTTTGGTTACCTCTAATTGGGCTTGAGAGGATCTTATTTCCTCATATTCTTCGGAGGCTTTAAAGTGCCAGCCCAGGACGACGGAGATGCCTGGGTGGATGAGCCCGAAGATCATAGACAAATTCATGGCTTACGCCACACTGTGCTTCGAACGCTTCGCAGCAAGGGTTCCCATGTGGATCACCTTCAACGAGCCTGCCGTGTTCGTCTTTGGAGGCTATCAGGGAGGTTGGAACGCCCCGGGTGTAAAGCAGTCGGTCGCTGAAGCTCTCGTAGCGGTGCGGCATGTGCTGCTCGCACATGCGAAAGTGGTGGCACTTTATCGGTCCCACTTCCAGAACGGCGACAAATCGAAGAGAATAGGGATCACCTTGAACACGAGACACTACAAGGCTGTGGATGCAAGCGATGCTGCTGCGAAAGGTGCCCAGCACATGTTGGAGGACCGCATCGCGTCTTGGTCCGACCCTTTGGTCTTCGGCGACTTCCCTGAGAGCTTCAAGACAACACACGGAGGCATCACGGCCTTGCGCCTCAGCGAAGTTGAACAAGAAGCTCTACGAGGCTCAGTAGGGTTTTGGGTTTTGGGTTGCTGGGNNTTAGGGTTTAGGGTTTGGGGGAGGCTCCATCGACTTTCTGGGTATCAACTACTACACGACATCTGGCATCCAGGAGGACACAAAAGCAGGCTCATCCTCCTTCAAGGTGGTAGAGCTGGGCGAAGCCTCCGGTGCATCCTGGTTGCACTCCTACCCCAAAGGCCTTATTGAACTATTGAGATGGCTATCACATCGATATCCTGGGCTGGATGTGGTAATTACCGAAAATGGCTTCTGCACCCCCGCCGACGACCCAAAGGCCGTTGAGGATGATGTTCGCGTCAGGTACTACCAGGAGCACACAGCCATGGTTAAGCAGGCGCTGGAGGAAGGGCTGCCCTTGAGGGGCTACTTTGCCTGGACTTTGCTGGACAACTTCGAGTGGGCAGGGGGCTACAAGGACGCCTAATCGCTGAGTTTGTAAACCGTCTATCTTTGTTGGGCTATTATAGAGCCTTCTGCACAACCGAAAGATTGAACTGTTTATATCTTTGTTGGGTTTTCAAGACTTATAAACCCTAAACCCTAAACCCATTTATTCTTTTGAAACCGAAAGTTGTGAACTGTTGGGACTTCCGAACTGGGCAGCTGAGGAAAGGTTTGGCATGGTGCACATCGACTTCAATAACAAGGAGCCTAAAGCCTAAACCCATAAAGGCTAAACCCTTTAAGCCCTAAACCCGA